TAAAGTTAAAACACTGCGTTTTTAGCTCTTCTTTTGACTGTAAGTCGAGTTTTAGTTAAAAAATAAAAAAATCCTAAGACAGAAAGTTTATATTTACTGTAATATTTCTAAAAATCCAAAAATCTAACCTTATTTTTAATTTTCGGGGCCTCTTAAAATCAGTTGTTTGGTTCTCGTGAACCCTTTTTGAAATCCGAAATTGATCTCATTTGGAAGCAAATGTACACAAAGTGGAGCAAAGGCAGTGCAAGAATAACATTTGAGGTAAACAAAATCACTTATTACATTTTATTTTGACGAGTATTTACTCTCCAATTACTTTTGTTTATTTTCAAATTTTACCCGTTGCCCCCGGACCGGCCCGGGACTCCCGCGCGGCCACGTTCGAACACGTTCTGTAACCCGATACCTCCCTAGTAATGCGACTTTTAGCCTAGCAACCGACCGCCGTGTATACTCTAATTTCCCCATGGGCAAAGATGAAGCTATCTTCCTATTCAATATAACAGTTATTGCAGTAGGCCTATCTAACAGAATAGGAGTCACACCAAAAATACACAAAGTAGCTTGAAGAGTGAAGTTGACATGGAAAGTCACTAAAAACGTAATCTAATTTCCCCATGGGCAAAGAGGAAGCTACCCTCCTATTTAAGTTAACAGTTATAGATAACAGCAGTAGGCCAGCTAATAGAATAGGAGTCACGTCAAATATACATAAATAAAGTACCTGGCAGAGTGAAGTTGCCTTGAAAGGTCACTGAAAACGTACACTGATGTCCCCATGGGCAAAGAGGAAACACATACACAAAGTAGCTGGAACAGTGAAGTTGGCATGGAAAGTCGCTGAAAACGTTTTCTGATTTTCCCCATGGGCAAAGATACTTTGATACCTTACTATTAAAGTAAACAGTTAGAGCAGCAATGGGCACATCTTCCTGGATCAAAATCACCAATTCAGGCAATGACACTGTTCCAATAGCGTGGGTTACTACCGTACAATTCAAAGCTCTTTGACCGTACCAAGTAGGCCTTGTGGCAAATAGACAGTTATAGCAACGGTGGGGCACTTCTGCAGAGTAAAAGTCACATAAAAAATACATTTACAAAGTAGCTGGCAGAGTGAAGTTGGCATGGAAAGTCACTGAAAACATTTTCTGAGTCTCCCCATGGGCAAAGATACCTTCCTATTAAAGTTAACAGTTATAGCAGTAATGGGCACATCTTCCTGGATCAAAATCACAAATTTAGGCAATGTCCCAATAGCGTGGGTTACTACGGTACAATTCAAAGCTCTTTGACCGTACCGAGTAGGCCTTGTGGCAAATAGACAGTTCTAGCAGCAGTGGGGCATTTCTTCCAGAGTAGAAGTCACATTCACAAAGTAGCTAGAAGAGTGAAGTTGGCATGGAAAGTCGCTGAAAACGTATTCTGATTTTCCCCAAGGGCAGAGAGTAAGCTACCGTCCTATTAAAATAAATAGTTATAGTAGCAATGTGGCACTTCTTCCAGGATAAGAGTTACATCAAAATCACAAATTCGGGCAATGTTCCAATAGCCTGGGTTACTACCGTACAACTCAAAGCTCTTTGACCGTACCGAGTAGGCATTGTGGCAAATAGACAGTTATAGCAGCGGTGGGGCACTTCTTCCAGAGTAGAAGCCACATCAAAAATGCATATACAAAGTAGCTAGACGAGTGAAGTTGGCATGGAAAGTCACTGAAAACGTTTTCTGATTCTCCCCATGGGCAAAGATACCTTCCTATTTAAGTGGGGAAGATACCTTCCTATTAAAGTTAACAGTTATAGCAGTAATGGGCACATCTTCCTGGATCAAAATCACCAATTCGGGCAATGTTCCAATAGCCTGGGTTACTACCGTGCAATTCAAAGCTCTTTGACCGTACCGAGTAGGCCTTGTGGCAAATAGACAGTTATAGCAGCGGTGGGGCATTTCTGCAGAGTAGAAGTCACATCAGAAATACGCATTTGGGCAATGTTCGGATAGCGCGCTGTGGGTTACTGCCGTACCAAGTAGGCCTCATGGCAAATAGACAGTTATAGCTATTGCAACAGTGGCGCACTTCTGTCAGAGTAGAAGTCACATCAAAAACACGCATTCAGGCAATGCTCCTATTGCGTGGGTTACTACCTTGTTTCACATTATACCCCCCCCCGCCTTTAAGGCTTACATTACTTACGTCTTTTTCTTTAATGGTAAAGAACATAGAAACATCGAAAGAGGTGAAGGTTGGCATTACTGGATACCTTGTTATAGTAAGACGTCTATCTGGGTTACTAGCGTGCTTTATTTCACTTGATATTTTCGCCCTCTAAGGATCATATTATATATGTCTAGCCTTTTAATAGGGCAAGTAGATTTTGTTTCTTCAATGGTCGCATGGACAAAACCTGGTAGCATCGAAAGAGGTGAAGGCTGTCATTACTGGTAAATTAATGGACAATCAGGGGCGCTATATCCCATTAATTTACCATATAGAGAACCATATAGAAATGTTTTCGTGGTATATATATAATGGGGTAGAATTATCTACCTATAGCTATCCCATGTAAAAGTAGTTAACACGTTTTTTAAAGACAAAACTTTTCAGTACTAAACAAGAGTTCCACGAACTCATACCTTCGCCAAATGACGTTAACAAATGTCACTCATGTCACTTCTTCCCTAGCCCAAGAGCTATCTGCCATCCAAAATTCGTGACCCTAGCATGTCCAGATCATGAGATATCAAAACCGGAAGTTCTGCGGCAGTACCAACAAAAGCCGCCAGGGGGCCCAAAATCTAATCATTTCTAGGTCTCACCAAGTCCTACCCACCTACCAAGTTTCATAGCAATGCATATAAAGCTTCTTGAGTTACGCTGCTCACAGACAGACAGACAGACGGACGGACAAACAGACATACGGACAAACGCTACTGAAAACATTAACTTCTTGTCTAAGGTAATAAATGGGGTAAATAACTAAAGCTTGTTAGAGTAAGACTTCTATCTATATATTCAACATTTATTGCGATGAAGACGGCGCCATGCTTAGTCAGACGTTAAGTTTTATCATGTTTTAGTGTCTATGTCATATGTCTCTGCGATGACGTTGAGATATATTGGTCTGTAATTTTGGCGCCGTAAAGTTTTGCCTCATTGCCATTTTGACTACCCCAACGTCACTATCAGTTACGAAGTGCATCTATATTCTCAGACAAAGATGTAGATGTCAAAAGGAAAACTCTTAGTACAAATTGCATTTTGTCAATGCTTCGGAGAGTTTTTGCTTTTCGTTTCATAGTCACAAAATTATACTGACAGCTTAGGTTACGGTCTAGGAAAGTCGTGTTTCCGGTTTTAGCACGAGTTACGTTGGTAAAATACATGACGAAAATTAAACTGTTCCTCAACTCAACAATAAAAATGACTCATAAAGCTGATGAAGATTGAGTGATTCAGTCAAAAATTTACATTGTTGAGTTGGAGAACAGTTTATTGTGCTTTATTGTGGAAAAACTCTTCTTTAGCTGCCAGCTACTGCGGTTTTAGTCCTGAAAAAAAAAAAACTAAGGTCGGTGGGATTTTCTTCTTTTTTTTTTTAGATTTCGGCTAAGATGATACACAAATAAAGTTAAAGAATGCATCGGGGCTGTTTCGGTCAAGTTTTGTTTATTTCACCAGTGTAGTGGGCGTAGGGAGAAACCTGAATGGTTAGGTCTTGCATGGCCAGAGAGTTCGAGCGGATGGATACATGATATATATGAGAAAATGAGGTCAAAATTAGGGTTTGTTTACTAGTACCGTTGTCAGCTGTTGTTGTCAGAGTTTGAGCCAGTCAACCCCCTAGTTTCATTTGTATATCTTGGAGGCATATCCGTGTGGCACTCTAATGCAGAAGGATTTTTGAGATTGAAACGTGGAAAAACACTTTTATAAGGCCTTGTATCGCTGTAGCCTTCAATGGCCCAAACCTAATAGTGCTATCTGTCCTCAACCTTTCACATTTCATTCATCTAGAAATAGATGTTTCAACATGGCACAACTCTACAAAATTGGAACCGAAGAAACATCTACATCTTCCAACATTTGGTGGCAAAATTGGTTCTTTACGTGACCTGGCCGACCTACATATTGGCTACAGGGTAGAGATCGCGTTGGGAATGGGGTTTGAAATTGCGCCGGCTACATTGCGCCAAGTCAGCTCAATACAGCCATTACCATTACAAGAAGCCCATGCGTGTTTGTAGGAATGGACATGGCCACACAACGTCAACATGACTGCCGTTCCAAGATAAACTGGAATCACGTTATAAGCTGTTAGATATGATGTGAATAGGGCAGGAACCAGCCTTGAATACAAACTATATCACAGTGCGTTTGGAATAGAGCTATCACCAAATTTTCAAGCAGATGAGGGGGTGAAGGAACGCTTACGTTTTCTGGCGCGTCTGCAAGCTTTATTTACTTAAGATCTCTCTACATCTGCTTGGAGACTAACTACCACTACCTCCCAGCTTTGCCCAGCCTGAAACCGTTAATAGCACTTAATTAACGCGGATACGAAGTAACTGTATCAATTATCGTCCACTATGGTAAGTTAAATGGCGATTTGATAGGACAAATTATCCGGTAGTAATTTCATTTGAAACGCTGACGTACCCAGATCAACTCAGCAGTGTACATCACTCTACATGCACTTATAGTTTAACACTTAGAGGTCAGTGGTTTTTCATACTTAAGGATTCAGTCATGTAGACTTCATTGCATCCCAGTGACCTGTCTTTAACTAGGTTATACGTCTTCTATTTCACATGTATGTAAGGTATTGAAAAACATTGATGCCAACACTAACAAAAAACTGTATTATTCTGAAGTAGATTATACGCCTTCTATCATATAAG